AAAAAAATAAAAAAAAAAGTACAAACTACTCAAAAGTCAGAAGTAACAATTAAGTTTAGGAGAACCTGTGTAAGATCCGAACATGCACTAAAATTATCAATTTTGTATTTATTTTTTATTTTTTATTTTTTCTCCTGTTTAACATTCCCTTCAATGTTATACTTTGTTCGTATAAATCAAATGATAAACCAGAAACAGAAAATAAGTAAATCACTGTAACAAGCCAAATATTGTAGTGAATTGGATCATAGTGCAACAAACGAATATAAGCTGTCGATGGACAATCAAAGTGAAAAATCATCCTCACCATAACATGAACTACATTATCATACAAAAGATAACTAAATCTCTATTGTACATCTTTATCGAACCCATGATACAGAGTCGATTTCATCCCTGGCTTTCTTGTAGAGCTCAAGCCTTTTAGCACATTGTAGCCTCCTCTCCATCAAGGCTGGATCTTCGTCCAACAAGTCAGCGAATTGCTTACCCTGAAATAGAGTCCAAACCATTTATCTCTATCAATTTAAAGACACATCTAATCCTAGTAATGACCCAAAAGAACAGACATGATATCTTAATGGTAAACACAGTATCTAAAAATAAATCTGCTACTAAAGGAATGAGTCAAAGGTGCCCTCTATTATATATTTCAAACAGCAAAAGTTTCAAATTTGAATCTTTGAAATATTCATGCGCTAAATACACCTAGCCATGAACATGTTTATGAGACATGTTGTATAAACTATCTAAAAGCTTAAATTATTAACAAATGAACAAACTTATTTTGTCAAAACAGACAAAAGCACAATTTTAATAATTTGATGGTGACGAGACTTGAACTCAAAACTTGAGTATGTTCTCTTACCATTTCAAACCCATCTTATCTAAAAACTTAAGATATTAGAGAGAAGCAAACTTATCTATTTAAATTATGCCTTCGACAAAACCTATAGAACTGCATTTGTGAAAGAATTCTTATATGAATCTTCGCTTCCAGTATAGTGTGGTAATTAGTGAAAAAAATTATTGTATTTAAACATCTACCAACGTAAAAAATGACAAAGCGGTACCTCTTTCTTCCCAATTTGCGTGTAAAAGTAGTTGAGTAAACACTGCTTGGCCTCCTTCACTTGACAGTAAACCACTGCCTTAGGAATAGAGTTTCTCAGTGTCTCAGAAACCATATTTATATAAGACGACACATTTGATGCTATCCTCCTGAAATGTCCATCTGAGATGCGATCAATGGTATTGGCAGGAGCTGGATTTCCCGGGTTTCCCACTTTCTCAACCTCCTGGGGAAGTTTCCGGAAAAAATCAACAGTCAAATATGAAGATTCCATGTCAACCAATCTAATGACGGTTTTCTTGCTTTCCTCACGAAACCTTTCCAAGGCTTCATTCGCTGCTCCAGCTATGGTTGATTGCAGTGTTGGAAAACGTTTTAGTTCCTGTTTCGCCACAGAAATCTAGAAAGTAAATATGGTATTTAAACAAAGAAAAAAACTGTAACACAATTATTAACAAACTACAACTCACCTGACACTCCCCGATCGACTTCCTCACAAGTTCTTTCAAGACAAAGTGAACCTGAACAAGGTTTAATATGTCAGTTGTCACATAGCCAGAGCACGTGATTTGAAAAGAAGTCATCTTCCCAGTGACGTATATCAAAACTACTTACAGCGTCAACAGAAGCTTCAGCAGGTCCCCTAAAATAATTCAACGATCCCTCGATAAGCCGTCGGTAACCTTGCTCAGGAGCAATCAAATGTGGTTGATAACCATCAGCTTCTGAAACAATTTTTCTCACATTTTGCAATGAAAGATGTCGATCAAATGGGAGTTTTCTCAAAGCAGCTGGCAGCTGATTGTCAAAAACCCCATAAATTCGATCACCACCTGGTCGGCTGAAACAATGAACCAGCTGATTAGCTAATAATCATATGAAGACCTACTATATAAAATGTAGTAGCTAGAAAGCAACAAACACCAAGGCATGACCAAGCAACAATTGATAAAACTAACACTTTCTTCCGAATTTTAATCCGAACTTGGAATTCCAATCAAAATTAAAATAGTAAAAGACGGGACCAGATTCTAATTTAGTTCAAACTTGGAGTTTGAGCAAAGTTAAAATTGAGAAAGCCAGGTCATTCTGAGTACAAAAATTTTCCAGATGTAAGCGGTAAAAGATTGGAATCCTATTTTGGATTAACTTTCCCAGGAAGTATATCATGTCACCAGTAAATTCTTGCCTTAACGAGGCTTTTCAGGAAGACGCAACTTTACAAAATCACATATACTCAAAGAACCTTTCTCAAAATTATTTAATAAAAGGTACAGAAAACAATATGACAAATAAGAA